GGGAGATGAAGACAGTGCCAGAGATCAGGGAAGATTTTGAAGTAAGAATGTTAGAACAGCCTTACTGGGTCAGACCAAAGGGCCAGCTAGCCCAGTAGCCTGTCTTTCAACAGTGACCAATGACAGGTGCCCCAGAGGGAATGAACAGAACAAGTGAACATCAACTGACCCATCCACTGTTACCCATTCCCAGTCTCTCTGGCAAAGGGAGGCTAGAGACAGCATCTCATCTATCAGCTAGAAATAAAAAAGGGTTGTTTTTTTTTTGGTGCCTTTCAGGTTTAATTTTCTGATATACATGCATTAGAAATAAAAAAGGGTTGTGTTTTTTTTTTTGGTGCCTTTCAGGTTTAATTTTCTGATATACATGCACAGAAATGTGTTTTAAGTTAGAAAACAGTCCAAAACATGAGCCTTAAAAACAATCATGATTTTAAGTCAATCTTGTCACAGGTTTGACAATATTGAAATGGTAGCCTACTACCTAACATGTAAACCCTAGTGTAACTTCTGTTTGCACTTGGGGACTTTAGAAAGTGCGTAGTAAATTCTGTTTCAGATAGTTTAGTAACTTGTTCCTGAAAATCAAGGATGCTAATTATAGATTGGCTGCAACATTCAATCATCATTTCTTCTACAAAGTGCTTCTAAGACAATTCACCGCAAGCACAGTTGTACATTTGAATTAAACAATCCATTGACTTAGGCTGTACTCCAAAAGTTTCTTTAGCATGAGAACAGTCTCACTGTGTCACATTGTGTTTTGTTTTTGAAAGACTTCATTGTGACTATTCCCATGATTTAAGTGAAATGTGCGTCATTGAGTCTAGGCCATTCCTGTTTTCTTTACAGAATTCTCAATATTCTATTGAATTTTTGTCTTTCATATTGTACATCTTTAGGCTTCTCCCCTAGCTCCCACATGATTATTGTCAGTTCTTTTTACTTCTTGCCCGTTATCATAAGTGAAAAACCACAGAGGACAGTGTGAAGTTAATGCAACTTACTGGTGTGACTTAGCCAATCTTTATATCACTTCCAGAATTGCTTGCAGCCTAGGCCATGCTATTGTCCTCCCTCATCACCCCCTCCTTTGTTTCCAGTTTGTCCCTAAATCTCTCTCTACTTTGTGTAGGAGGACCAAGTAAATTCACATGGAAAACGCTCCATCTGCTTTCTGTAGTGGCTAAGAGTTGGGGCCATTAGCTCCACCATTCAGTACTTAAAATGCTTAAAGGGATCATGCAAAACCAATGAGGAGTCCTGTGGCACCTTAGAGGCTACTAGAGGGCATAAGCTTTCATGGGTAAAACCAACTTCATCATGAAAGCTTATGCCCTAATAAATCTGGTAGTTTCTAAGGTGCTACAGGACTCATTTATGCAGCTACAGACTAACATGGCTACCCCCTGAGACTTAAAGAGATCATATCATCTTAAATACGGACCACAACTGAAATTATGTAAAAAAACAACTTCTATAAATCTTACGGTTATAGAAATGTTTAGGAAACAAATTCTTTTTATATAACCACTTTCCCCCTATAATCGTTGAAACCCAGACAGTGCAGCAGTGAGACCTAGAAAATTAAACTTAGTATAAAAAAATGTTTATGGGTGAAGGGTAAAATTGTCCTAGGCCGTCTAACAATAGGCAATGAAAATCTAAGTTGAGTGAAATATAAATACAGAGCCCAGAAAAACAACAAATGAGATTTTTTTTAAATTACTTCACTTCTAATAATTTAAGATGTCATTAATAACAGATAAATAAATATGCTTGTTTGCAAGATATAGTTTTTATTGGGACACTGTCCCCCTAACACTGTCTTATTTTCATATCATGCTGAAAATATGCCCCTGGCAATGAAAATTGATGCTGGAATTCTTACCAGATAAAACCCTCACTGAAAACTATGGAAATTTTTTTTTGGATAAGTAGTGCATTTTTGGTCCATATACAGTATGTTCAGTGAAAACCACAGGATAAAGTGAAGCAGCTGCTATTTTCATGGCACTTTCTCAGATAGTAAAAAAATAAAAGTTGAATATACAGGCAGTCCCCGGGTTACGTACAAGATAGGGACTGTAGGTTTGTTCTTAAATTGAATTTGTATGTAAGTCGGAACTGGTACATATTGTAGGGGAAACTCTAGCCAAACATTTCTCCAGAGCTCAGTTTTATTCTCCCACACCTCACTTCCCTCAATCCTTTATTCTCAAGCTGAGGCATCTCCCTGGTCTGCTGGGGGAGGGGGGGCGCTAGCTTCGCATCTCCCTGGTCTGCTGGGGGGAAGCAGCTAGTGCGGGGTTGCCTCACCCCGTTTGTAAGTAGGGATCCGATGTAAGTCGGATCCATGTAACCCGGGGACTGCCTGTATACCATGAAAAGACTTAAAACTTACTGCACAGCATTGTGCCCTCTACTGTTAGTACATGATGACCTAGAATTTTGGAGATGAAACTCAGATTGAGGGTGTGTCTAGACTACAGAGTTTTGTCAACAAAAGTGGACTTTTGTCGACAAAACTATACCTGCGTCTACACTACCACTGAGTTCTGTCGATATAATGTAACTCAGCAGTTTTGTCGACGCTGGTAAACCTCATTTTACGAGGCATAACGCCTTCTGTCGACAGAGTTCTGTCGACAGAAGGTGTTATTGCATGTAGGGTTGTGTCTAGACTACAGGGTTTTGTCGACAAAGCACCTTGCTTTGTCGACAGAACTGAATGTAGTCTAGACGCTCTTTGTTGACAGAAGCTTTGTCGACAGTATCTGTCGACAAAGCTTCTGTCGACAAAAGCCTGTAGTCTAGACGTACCCAGAGATGCAAGCTTCTCAAAGCAGGTGGTACATGCTGTTCTGGTTCAACTTCAATATCCAATCTGATTGGATCTGTGAGGGTTGGGCCACAGTTGTGAAGTTTGAATTCAGATGAGAATTTTCTAGTCTGGGAGGAATTCAATTTGATGTTCTAATCTGGGTTTATCTATACCATTAATGTTTCTACTGTGCAGTGTTTCACCATCAGAGTTAAATCTAATTCATTTGAATTCTTCTTTCTCTCTCCAAGTAGACTTTGTCTTGAATCACCCCTTCTTCTAGATTTCCCCTGTCCACACACTACTAACTGGGGGAGGTGCAAAATATTATTCCCCTTCCCCTTCATGGAATAACTAGAAGACTCAACACTGACAATGGCGGCTCCATGGGATGCCCAAACCATGTGGGCTATCTCTGTGTCTCTGCATTTCATCTGGTGCTGGTAGCTTCCTGGAAGCATAAATTCTCCAAAGAAGCTCTGCTACTAACTTCCTGACTGTAGTAACCATCATCCCAAAAATATATGACAGCCCCAAACTATACTATCCTTTCTTCAGAATCTCCCAGAATCTGAAGGAGGGGTAGGTAGTATGCGTCATCCTTCTGGCCATACCAGTCTCCAACTACTCCCCAGAGGTATGAAACATCCTCTAGGTGATCCATAGGGGAGGGCAGGATGGTGCTATGGTTACTCTTCTGTATCTCCCCACCCCACTACGTGATTAATGGAAGCTATGCACTGTATCAATGTGTAGACTTTGGGGAGAAGTACAACCTAGGCATCTGGACAGACTTTTTACCCGAACCAGCATGGACTCTAACACAAGGGGACTCAGATTGCACATACTATTCACTACTTTAATCAGAAGTTTGAGATCACGCATCAAGTAATCTTCCAGTTGTAAAGAGATTGTGAGGGAGTAGAGAAAAGGAGGGCCTAGCAATCCAGGTGTTAAAGAAAGTCTGTGGGCTCAGCTAGTTCTGTCCTGCTTTACCTGAAACCAATGCTAGGCTTTAGAGTGGGAAGAAAAGGAAGGAGCCTTGCACAGTTTGGGGGTGACTAGCAAGGAGGCATGAGCTTGGTTCAACAGTCTGAGGGCCCAAATCAGTGTCTGCCCACCCAGCAGTCATGGGAGCAAGTAAGCCCTACAACTCTACTCCTCTGGGAAAAAGAAGGGGAACCTATTGGAAAACTCCAAATAATGGTAATGTGAACTCTTGGGTCCATTCCCGAAATTTAAGAATTAAAATTCTTGGTATGCCCACATCTTGAGTACTACATGCAGATGTGGTCACCTCATCTCAAAGAAGATATATTGGCATTGGAAAAGGTTTAAAAAAGGGCAACAAAAATGATTAGGGGCTTGGAATGGGTCCCATATGGAAAGAGATTAAAAGACTGGGACTTTTCATCTTAGAAAAGAAGAGATATGATAGAAGTCTATAAAACCATGATTGGTGTGGAAAAAGTGAATAAAGAAAAGTTGTTCCCAAAATATAAGAACTAGGGGTCACCAAATGAAATAAATAGGTAGCAGATTTAAAACAAACAAAAGGAAGTGTTTCTTCATGCAGTGCACAAACCACCTGTGGAACTCCTTGCCAGAGGATGTTTTGAAGACCAGGAATGTAACAGGGTTAAAAAAAGAACTAGATAAATTCATGGAGGTTAGGTCTATTAATGGCTATTAGCCAAGATGGGTAGGTACCATTGTAGGAAGCCAGGTGAGGTGTCCCTAGCTTCTATTTGTCAGAGGCTGGAAATAGCTGACAGGGATCACATAATGTTTCTGGGGTCACTTCCTCTGGTATCTGATATTGGCCACTGTCAGCAGACACGATACTTTGGTCTGACCTAGTATGGCCCTTCATGTGTTATGTTCTTAAAATAGGGAGTGGCTCAGAGTTCCTGGGCAAGGAACACAGGGGAACAAGGGAACAGCCTCTCCCCCTTTTTATGCCCACCTACTCTGTGACCTAGCCCCTAAGCTACTCGGTCCTCAGAGCTCGGGCCACAGAGTGATAAATCAGATAACAGCTAGATATTTGAGATGGAATCTTTTTAGCTGATTTTCATTGATGACAGAATGAAATGTATCAACATGGAAAATAATGGGGGGAGAAAGATAAAATTCACAGTTGTCAAGTGTTTGTAAAATGTACATGAATATTTACCTTTTGAGGAAGAGTTATAATTCTCTTGTTCTTCAATGAATTAAATGCATGGAATGATGGAAACAAAAGAAAGAAATCAGCAAATTTAAAGTTAGACAAATAAATGTATTGCATTTGACAATGACACATACAATAAGCTGTATCAGAGCATACATAAAAGTAATGTGGAAAATCAGGATGATAAACCATGACAAATTATAAATGCTGAATAGTTATTTAAAATTATGAGTAACAATGAAGATACTAATGGTCAGACTGTGGAGTCTCAGTACAGGTTGAACCTCTTTAGCTTGGCACCCTTGAGACCTGATCAGTGCCGAATCAGAGGATTTGCTGGACAATGGAAGGTCAATATTGTCCAGCAGTATTATCAGCACTTCCACTGCTTACTGGACTCTTGGAAGACATTTAGGGGTAAATTAGAGCTAAATAACAGCACAGAACACTGAGAGCCAAGACTGGTGGCTGCAAACAAACTTTATGGAACTGCAGGAAAATTAGCCACACCTAGGGTTGCCTGGTGGTTTCCACAAAAATACCGGACACACTTGACATTACATCACAATCTACATTAGATCTTATTTAGAAAATACCAGACATTTATATTTTCTCAATTTGTTTCCCAAACAGAAAGCTCAAATACTGGACTGTCCGGTTTAAAACCGAACACCTGGCAACCCTAGCCACACCCAGGATAAGTGAACTCATGCCAGGCCACGGATGTTGCTGGACAAGAGAGAGAGGATCAGAGAGGTTCAACCTATAGTGCCAAACCCAATTGTACAAAAATCATTAAGTCAAGCCCCCTAAAATGGAGACATGTTTTAAAATTACAAGCTTTGGATTTTATTTGTCTTCTGATTTCTGAGTCTCATGGGTGTACATTTTCTCCACAAGGGTTAGAAACTTACTTTTAAAATTGAAAGTTGCTCTTCTCAATAAATCACTTACCACTAGAAAGCAGGATGTTGAGAAAAACACCAAATATGAAACTTGTGATAAAACTGTGAGAGTTGGCAACACTTTGGTGCTCCCTCACAAATGTCGTCAATTTTAAGTCAAGGGGTTTACTCATGTGACCTTCAGTATGAGTAATGTTTCCACAACCTAGCTTCAAATATTCAATGCCATCTAACAGTTTTCAATTAAACGAGGGATATGAAGACAAAACAAAAACAATGCTAAAAGACTCGAACTGAAAACTGAAATAATATCTTCTTTTGTTAGAAAGCTCAAACTCTGTTCTTAGTAATTCTGGATTTATAACGGTATATTTGAGAGCAAGATTTCACTGACAGGGTCTTCCCCAAGCATAGCTGCCATTGTCTGCAATGGCATTACAGACACCAGTATAACTAGTATTCTGTGTTCTCTAACTATGAGGTATATAGTTGCAACTCAGTTTTATTATTTAACAATACTGCAATTCTTTGATATGAAATTCTATCGTTTGTCCACAGATAACGTTGAAAATAATTTGTCAGTATATGTCCTAACCTCCATGCAATGGAGATCTTTAAATGTCTATTTTATGAATGTTTTCAGTTTAGTTTATATAAACTGTACCCATACCATAGAAACACTGGTATTAAAAAATATTTTAAAATAAGAGGCCTCTCAGTTAAATGGAGTTATTATTTAAAAGTTACCTTAAAAATATATACAATAGTTAATTTCTTATTATTGCATATCACCATCTGCCAGTAAATGCATTTCTTTAAGTACATTCCTTTGATTTTCTTTCAGACACATATTTCTGTCCTGCAGTATATAAGAAAAATTATCTTGATTTTAAAGGAAAATTTCAAGAGACCATTGCTGTAATCCATTTCTAGATAAAAAGCTGCTTAAATAAATATTCATATAGCTGTCCTACCTGAATCTAAATTTCAAGCTGTGATTTAGATTTCTGTTAGTACAAGATCATCTACTGCAATATTTATTAAGACATTATTCTCATTTTCTCCAATGGGAGATTTTTCTAAGGTCTACTGGATCAGGCGCAATGCTATTTATGTAAGTGTAAACTGGCATAACAACATGTCAGTAATATTAAAACAACAAAAAACTTATTAAACCCAATGAGGCTTCTCAAAACCACACTGCATCATTATAAGAGCTATGCAATGTGAAACCATACTATAACAAAATGAAAAATCATTTTATCAAGAGTCATATGACAGAACAGGACAGTGATCGGGTTTGTCTAAAGGGATTCTTGAAAAGTAGTTTAAAAATAAATACAATCATCCAGGTGTCTCACTGTTTCAGAAATTTGAATAAGGTACAACAATCCTTTTCTTAACCACATGCCTCTGTTATATTCATTTGTCAAAATACAACCTGCTTCACCTAAAGATGGGCTTAGGAAAAAAAACTGCTGTAGACCACCAGCCTGTCTGAATTTCCTTGAACAATAAGGGTGGATAGTTACAAAACAACAAAGTATGGGCTCAACCTGAAATTCTTACTCAGGTCAGACTCCAATTAAATCAGTTCTTGTTGTCATTGAGAAAGGACTGAGTAAAAACTGCAAACACAGACTCTAAGAACAAAATCTATGACACTGTACCAAAAGTTGTGATACGACGGTAGAGAAATTCATAGTTAATGCAGAAACTCCACTCTTTACTTGCCACTTAAATATGATGTATTATAGTAACAAGAGTGATTCAAGCCTTTTAGAATCACACAGCACAATGTGACAAATTGAGAAAAGAAACTCTTTGCTGAAGCTTAGAATTTCATTAATTTAACCACTGAGTTGAAAAATCATGTTATTTTATGTCCTTTTTAAATATTGCCAATTTAAACAAGGAAAGAAAAAAGTATATAATTCAAAACTCTACAAGTTTGAGTAATGACCACTGCATGGTAGCTTATTTGCAAATACTTACAGATGTTTAGAAATGTAAATTATGTAAAGACACCTGTAGACACTAGTTTTCACTTGCAGACCTCTTAGGCCCTGATCCTGCAATGAGAGCCACGTGATCACAGGAGTCTGGAAATTTTTGCCATGATACAGTTGGCATACTTGCATACCAAGTTTCATACCACATTTGCATTTCAATGCACAAATACACTAAAATGTTATCATGACTTTCACTCAAATTTCTGTTTCTTGAGAGGCACTCTTAGTCCCGAGTCTGAGTGCTAACATTTTACATATTTCAATAGGTTAAAAACACTATTGTATGTTTTATATTTCTTCTAAATAAACTTATTTTAAACACACACACACACACACACACACACACACACACACACACACACACACACACACAGTCACTGATCCCCACTTGAAAAGACCCCCCAAAAGTTCATTTTCTAAAAATTATGCCATTTTGGCGTTTTAAGGACAAAAAGATATCTTACAACTGGAATTTTTCCCTTACCTGTAAAATTGGGTTCTGGGAATGCCATCTGATCATGGGTATCTCCCTGCCTTTATAATTCAATGGGATTATCGCCATCCTTTACTCTGAGTTTTCTTCTCTAAGATTTTCTATATAGTATTTCTATTGTTATGGACATTTCTAAACTGACAAACTTGCTCAAAAGTTGACTTTCAATTATCTTCAAATTGAAAGTGTTAACTTATCTGTCATTGTCTGATACAGGAAATAAATCAGAATTGGTATTTTCAGTTCTGACAATGACAAAAACTAAATTTCTGAGATACTGTGTGAATCCTGTAAAAGAGGTATTAGAGTGGTTGCCACAATTTACTATAGAATAAACAGCTCCACAATAACATTAATCATCATGACAAAAAGTAAAACTACCACCAACTTCTCACTCCAACACCCACTTCCCCCTCCCACAGCAAGACCTTTACACAATACTAAAATTGTTTTACTGAAAGCTGTTATGTCTTCTATGGAAAATCACAATGAATGATGTCACTCACAGTTAATACGCATTGCCATAACCTTTCTACAATGATTACTATAGTCCAGAAAGTGGATTTACCTGTAAAAACATTTGTATTCACCTCTCTTAGTACCGGAGAATTAACATGACCTACCATATACTCATAACATTATCATACACGGTATTCCCTTCCAGTGCAGGATGTCACGATTTACCAACATTATATGGCTTTATTTACAATTGAAGGAAATGCAAATAACATTGAACCTAGAAGTGCAGCTCTCCATAACATTAACAGATTGCATTCAATCCTGCCATCATCTACAGATATATAGCCCTGATGTGAATTAAAGTCATTATGGACCTATCCAATGCCAACTAAAGTTAACAGAGAATCTTCCACTGACTTCATTAGTTTTAGATTACACCCTAAATTAGGTCTCTTAGTTACTTCATTTTACATTGAGACTGCATTGTTGGGGGTTGGACAATTGTACCAAATGGCAGAATGTGATCCACTAAATCAAAGCAAGTATTTTTATAGTATTTCATTGAGTTATGCATCATAGAAATTTATATGGAATCATGTCTGTCTTTAATCCCACAGTATTTAAACAGTACCATTTTTCATGTTTGTTTGCAAAGAGGTACTCACACACTCTCAACCACAATAGTAATTTGAACAGAGGGAGAAATGAAAAAAAGATATCTTTAGTGAAATGGCAAACCATTTGTAAGAAAGAAAGAAAGAAAGAAAGAAAGAAAGAAAGAAAGAAAGAAAGAAAGAAAGAAAGAAAGAAAGAAAGAAAGAAAAGTCTTTTCTTCAGCCTCAAGCCACATTGTCAGTTCACTGCCATTAAGTTTAGAACATATAGTCCTAGAATAATAGTAAGAGGAGTGGCTTTGTTAACCCTTGTATAATTATGATGCAAGAGAATAAATCATCTGTGTATTCACAGCTTGAAATATCAATCCTCTACTTAAAATGGACTTGTAATATCAATAACTCTCTGACCACATGCTAATTTTAGTTTCAGTATTGATTGTTTCACTTTTGCTTGTTACTGTAATATGCCTCCTCAGCCTCACAGCTTCATACCAACTTCTGTGTTCATTTAAAATTTCTGTCAACATAATTTAAATGGAAATGTTATTATTTCTTATGCATCTTACATTTAGTAATAATGGGATAATGATAAGTGAATATCCTCAAGAGAAAAATACTTATAGTCAAAACAAAAGTGATAAACCAGGTAAACCTTTTCATAGTCTATGTCAAATGCAAGAATCACATGAGAATATGATGCACAGCATGTATGAAATCATATCATGCTTTCATTCTTACATAGCTCCAACTTCAAGATCTACAGAAAATACAACCTAAAAATTTAAGCTGCAAAGGTAGTTTGCCAACAGTTTACAACCAAGAGAGTCCTTAGCTCTTTAATATAATTAGAAGCACTGAATATAAAATTCAGAGTTAGTCACATCCATCAGTTAAACTCAATGAAGTACATTGGATATTCATGATAAACAAGCAAAGTGAACATGAAAATACTGTCATGTGTTAGTGAGCATGCACTATAACAATACTTTTCAGAGGCCTCTCACCCATAAAGCTCATGTAACCAGTTAACTAATTCATTATCATGCAAAGAAGCGTTGGGTACCCTTAGCTTGGTAAATAAGTCAAAGTGGTCTACACTAACTGCTTTGGGAGATTTCTGACAATATTTCTGGAAACACAAGAAGTATAAACATTAGAAGCTCTTACATGCATTAGGTTCTGCATACTAGAAAGATCTGCAAAAGCTGGTAATTTTGAGTTTTGAGTTGTCAGATATAGTCAATGCACTAATAGTGTTGCTTGAAAAAGAGAAAAAAACTGAATTTACACATATTTCTAACATTAAATTAAGCCATATTTTACAGCCATTTTGTTTTAATAAAGTAAGCAACTCTTGATCTGCGGTATGTGGATGGGACAGGAAAAACTGATACTAAACATTGTTTGATGTTTGGATAGAGTATTTCTCTCAGCAACCTAGCTCAACTTTGCTCTGTTCAACAAGGAAAAGTTGTCTTTGCTTGACCACCAGTTTCCCTAAACATGCACCAGCTTATGAACCATGGTTTCACATTTTTAAGGCATTTTCACTTGATGCAGTAGGCCTTTGTCTGACTAAAGGAACAAAGAAGAAATTTACATTATCTGACCGTCATTCGTTTCTATCAGCAAAGCACAGCAATTAATCTCACCCAAGAAATCTGAGTTAGCAGAACATGACCAAAGTGGTATTAGAAGTGCCATCATGGAGCTCTGTGACCTGCACTCTAACTAAATCTGTGGTCATGGATATGTATGTACTAAGATAATGGAATATTTGCAATAGGAATTTTAAAGTATACAACAAAAACCAAATCAAAACAAACCAAGAGTACATAGAATAATCAACCAATTAAATTCTATAATATTTTCCAATCTCCTATTATTCTTACATTCTAATATATTGTTTTGTGGGTAGAAATAAATAAAGGAGTGAACATTTTGTTATCAAAGACAAAGTAAAATACAGTAAGGTAAAGAAGGAAATCGAAGATACTGAACTATGATAAGCTCATTATTTGATACCTTGCTCTATACTGCTGCTTCTTACTGGAACTTGTGGAAGCTGTCTTCCCCTACGACTGTTGACCGATGTGTCTGTGGGAGGTGACTGAGATGGACTTCCTTGTTGGTGTATTCTGCAGATGGAATGAAGATAAAATAAAATAGTCCAAATAAAATCTGAATCAATACATTTTGAGTGGTAAGATTATTAAAATGCATATATGGAAGATGCATAAATTATATGTATGTCACACTGTCCTATTCATACAGTCCTCAATGCCTGGAGAGTTAACCTGTCTTTTACTTGGGGGAAATATTTTCAAACTCCACATTTTTCAATTTTCTTAAAGAAAACATTAGACAGGAACTGCAAACTTCAAATAGGAGTCTAAGGGCCTAGTTCACCATTGTCTCCCACTTTGTACAATCATTTCCACCTGCACAAGCAAGAGGTGTGAAATATTATCATTTTGATTGGGCAACATTTGCATTAATATCAAACTTAACATGATACAGGGCAACAGAGAATTTAGTTACTAGGATCTAATATTATAGAGGTAAAGTGGTTTGTCTGAACATTTCTTTTGATGAAGTGCGCTGTTACTGTTAATTTTTGCAGTGTGTGTGTTTGGTAATAGGTGCAAATTCTTAGAGAAGTTGCACAGAATTTTAGTACTCTTACCCAAGTAGATAGTAATAGGTGCAAATTTTTAGAGAAGTTGCACAGAATTTTAGTACTCTTACCCAAGTAGATATTCTAAATTCATTTGCTTTGACTGTGTGGATAGATGAACTATGCTAGCAAACTTTCTAAATAGTTTGGCTTCTTATAGACACACTGAGCTTAACACATCAGATATCTGTGAGATACAAGTAAATTTACATATAAAATTCTTAAGGCTGTTCTTGGTACCATGGGATATTACCACTAAAATACAAAGGTGAAAAAAACCTTTGATTACTTAAGGTACAGTATTTTCTAAATATGTTACATTTATCTAACGTATTAAAGTTACACATATATAATTTCTCAAAGTTTGCTGTTATCTGCAAAACATTAATAAAGTTAAACAAATTACAGATGGTGACCTTTGGCATTCAATAGGCCAAATGACTTTCTCTTAACCTGCTGCTGTAAAACAAGAGTTAATGGTATGGAAATTGTATGTTATTTACAGCACGTTTTTAAAACTAAATATTTTGCAAGTTTTCATGTGTATACATAAACAAAACAATGGAAGGACAAAGCACAGTCAAATTTTAACTCTCATGTTCTATAATTGTTTAATTTCAACAGTCAAAAGTACCATCTGGACAGTGAAGATAGACGAAGTAGAGGATATGGGAGAAGTGTAAGTACCATGGAGAAAGGATTGTAGTATTGTGCCAGAATGAGTGAATGCACCGTATATACTCGGGAAAGTACAACACCACACTGACATCTGGAAGGTAGGACATGAATGCTGTGCTGTACATTTAATAGGAACCTTGTCAGAAGTGGAGAAGGTGGCGCCGACCCTCCAGGGACTAGGTGATGTATAGAGCATAATGGTCTGACACTAGAATGCTCACTCGACCTTGAGCGAGTGTGATGCTTTCCCCTAATGACTGGCTGCTCAGTTGTTCTTGGGGTTGGAAGTCCCCTTCTAGAAAGACAGGGTAGCAGAACCCTAAAACATTAGGGCCAAAAAGAAGTTGTTCAGTCATTAGCTTCACATAAATTTCCCCATGCCTCCCTCCACCACTGAAAGCAACAGGAGCCTGTTTAATAAGACATATAGTCACATTTTCATTCTGTGAAAATTTATTTATTCAACCTATAACTCTGTTTCAAAAGGCTGAACTGCAAAACCTTCACTGCAGATACATATGCCATGTATGCCTATATTCCATAAGCCACATTGATTTTAACAGGTTATTGACTAAAAATATTATCTTCATCTTCAGTTGCTTTAACAACAGAAAATGAAAGCTAATGCAGCTCTGGAACAATACCCTGATGAGATATCATCATTGCGGGGAAAATATCAAAGTCCACTTTTAACCACAGCGCACACATTTTCAAAATGCACATTTTCATTGTTGTTAAAATTTTACCTGAATGTTCACGAAGGCCCCCAATTCACTAAGGTACTTAAGCACATATGTAATCCCACTAAGCCTCTTGGGGACAACTCACGTGCTTAAAATGAAACATGTATCTTGCTGAACTGGGGCCTCAATTAGAAGATATAATTCTGAACGAATAATAATGAAAACTGTATTAAAGTAAAAAATGCAGTACAGTTTATTAACGGTCTCAGTATAACAATGTAAAGTTACATATAATCACTGAACTATTAGTCAGTAAGAGATAAAATTAACTTTTAAATTAACAAATTTTGCCTTTTTATTTTTTTCTGATTTTCACAATTGTGAGACATTCCCTAAAATGCATTGTTGTTTAGTACACTTTTGAACTCAGCCTTCTTACTATTTCTATTTACAATATTTTTTTTCTGAATTTACTTATTTTTTCAGATTTCTAAATTACAGCTACAGGAACCCATTTATAAATTAAAAATGCCAGTAAACAAAGGACCTCCCATGTACTCCCCAACTCCTGAAACACACACACCTGTTTCTCTTTTATTCCTTGTGAAACCCTACTTACCAGTAATCTTTTTAGGAATAGAATTTTTTGCTACTGTTTACATAGTTCTAAAATGGGCTCTGATATGTTATTTGTAGTTTGGCTTTGGGACACCTCTAGAGAAACAATGTATTTCATGAACAACTTGAAGCAAGGATTCAACTTCTTTGCTACCTCGGAACAATCAAGTCCCAAAATTACCTATGTATAGAATGAATTTTCTGAGAATTTATGAGGCAAACATATTACAAATCAGTGCTTTAAGTAATTTAGATTCCACTAGAAAGATGGCCTTTGCCTTCATTCACTCGCTCCTCTTCACCTCTGTAAGGGCTAGCTCTTTCCTGAGGGTAGCTTGGCTCTATTTCCATTAAGGGGCAATGGTACAATAGGGGGCAATGCCCATTTTGTTAACAGAGGGCAGCCAATAGCCTCAGTCACATTAAGTAAAATGGAAATTGGCTAATTATGTCTTGTAGTGTCATCTTGGGGTGGGGGGGGGGGAGAGGGAAGAATCCTTAATGTGATTAGAATTTAAGTTTCCAGGCTCATAAAGATTTTGCAGATTCCCTTTTAGGATAAGGACTGAGAGATCAGATATGAAGTGATACTTTGTGAAAAGTATTTGCCCATGGATGATATGGTGCTTTTATAATTTCTCATAATGATTGTCTCCTTTTACCAGTTGTTTTTGGGGCATTTAGTGCACCAGATGAAGTACATCACATGCTATGATAGCTATGCATTAGACCCACAGATCTTGAAAGGTGTGTTGTTGGGGGGTATTGATTGTCATTGCTGTGGAGACATGTCCACAGATTTTGCATATGTTATTCTGGAAGGATCTGATGCCACTTTGAGTTGGTGAGTTTCTAGGCAGCTTGCTTCTGATGATGAACTTGCTATTAACTAACCACTTCAACTTGAAATGATGTCTTTACAATATGCATTAACTACTTATGCTGAACAATCTAGTCCATCATATATTTAACTGTGACACTTGGAGTACTTTCCCCAGACCTGAAAAAGAGCTCTGTATAAGCCTGAAAGGTTCTCTCTCTCACACACATAGAAATTGGTCCGATAAAATATATTACCTCACCCAATTCGTGTCTAAATTGGGTAATAAAATATAAATATATTACCTCACCCAATCAGATGTTTATTCCATGATGGACCAAATACATTAATCAAAATCAGATGTTTATTCCATGATGGACCAAGAGGTCAGAGCTAAGATTAGTTGGGTGACTAAGTTGTGCATTTCTAGACAGAGACTCCACTAGGTAGAAGGAGGAACAACTAAAGCAGAGACTGCCACACTGTAGGGCAGGGAGTAAAATGAGGCCCAACCTGGGCCACTCCTCTCTCTAGTACCTCGCTGGATCCAAAATTGCACTGGGGAGACCCCTCACATTGGGGGGCAGAAGTTGGACCCAGGCAGTACCTCTCTCTCTCCCAGGGTACGTCTAGACTACATGGCTCTGTCGACAGCCATGTGAAATAGTTTACTCAGCATAGTCAAAGAAGTGGGGATTTAAATAATCCCCGCTTCATTAAAATAAAAATGGCCGCTGCGGTGTGCCGATGATCAGCTGATCTGGCACAGCGCGGCAGTCTAGATGTGGCACAGTCAACAAGGGTAGCCTTTGTCGACCGCTCCGGTAAACCTCGTTTCACGAGGCATACCAGACTGGTCAACAAAGGCTTCCCTTGTTGACCATGCTGCATTTAGTCTTCCGTGCTGTTCTGGATCAGCTGATCGTCGGCACAGCGCAGTCGCCATTTTTATTTTAATGAAGTGGGGATTATTTAAATCCCCGCTTCTTTGACTATGCTGAGTAAACTATTTTACATGGCTCTGTCGACAGAGCCATGTAGTCTAGACGTGCCCCCAGTGAGGAGCCAGATATCAGATTATAAGAATGGCCATAATAAGTCAGACTAATGGTCCATCTAGCCCAGTAGCCTGTGTTCTGACAGCATGGCCAATACCAGTTGCTTCAGAACAAACGAACAAAGAACATATAAATGACACATCATCCATCTGCCCATTCCCAGCTTCTGGCAAACCGAAGACAGGGACACTTGAACATGGTTTTGCATCCATGCCCATCCTTGACCAATAATTCCCATGAAGTTCTCCATCTCTTTCTGGAAACCTGTTATAGACTTGGACTTCAGGACATCCTCTGGTAAAGATTTCCACAGGTTGACTATGTACTGTGTGATAAAATACTTTCTTTTTTTGTTTTATACCTGCTGCCTATTTATGTTATTGGGTAACTCCTAATTCCTGTGTTTTGAGATGTAGTACAGTAAATAACATTTTCATACTGATCATAATTTTATAGAATCTATCATATTCCCCCTTAATCATATCTTTTCCACTTTCCATTGAAAAGTTTCAGTCTTATTAAGTTCTCATAGAGTAGCTGTTCCATACACTTTATCATTTGTATTGTCCTTTTCTATACATTTTTCAATTCCAATGTATCTTTTTTGAGATGGGGCAACCGGATCTATTTCGTTTTCAAGATATTAGACTAGCATGGATTTATATAAAGGCAATATGATAGTTTCTTTATTTTTTATATTCCTTTCCTAGTGATTGCCAACATTCTGTTAGCTTTTTAGATTGCTACTGCACATTGAGTGGATGCTTTCAGAGAACTATCCAGAATGGCTTCAATATCTCTTTCTTGAGTGGTAACAGCTAATTTAGACCTCATAATTATAAAGGTATAGTTGGAATTATGTTTCCAATGCACATTACTTTGCATTAACCAACATTCAGTTTAATCTGCCATTTTGTTGCCTAGTCATCAGTTTTATGAAATCCATTTGTAACTCTTAACTCTGCTTTGGACTTAACATCTTGAGTAGTTTGGTATCATCGGCAGATTTTCCCATCTCACTGGTTACCCCTTTACAGGATCATTTATGAATATGTTAAATAGATCTGACTCCAGTACAGACCTGTCAGGGACATTCCTATTTATCTCTCTCCATTCTGAAAACTAATAATTTATTCTTATCTTTTGTTTCCTATATTGTAACCAGTTACTGATCCAGGAAAGGACTTTCTATTTGATCTCATAACAGCCTTTGCTCAAAAGCCTTTAGTGAGGGACCTTATCAAAGTCTATCTGAAAATCTAAATACACCATATCCACTGAATCCGTCATGCCCACATGGCATTTGAATTCTACTAAATTGGTGAGGTATGATTTCCATTTACCAAACCCATGTTGATTCTTTTCCAACAAGTTGTGTTCATTTGTGTGTCTAATAATTATAATAATTCTTTACTATAGTTTCAACAACTTTGCCTGGTACTGAAGACAGGCTTACTCCCTGCAATTGCTGGAATTGCCTCTAGAGCCCTTTTTAAAAATTGGAGTCCCATTACCTCCTCTCATCTGGGACAGAAGCTGATTTAAATAGTTGGTTGCATACCACAGTTACTCGTTCTGCAATTTCTAGTCTTGTTTTCTTATTACAGTTTAATTAATCTGTTTGTTCCAAAACCTCCTCAAATGAAACTACACGTGCGGGGAAGGGAAGCAGGAAACTTTGGACCTCTGGATATTCCAGCCACGAATTCCAGTCCCTGTGATTTTCTCTGTCTTGTTTTTATTGTGTTTGCCCTCTTTCCCTTCAGCTTCACTATACATCTGCCTTTCCTCTTATTCCCTCTTCTGTTCTTCTTACCTATTCCTTCCTTTTTCTTTATGTTTAATCGCTCCCCTTCTAAATAGCTCTCTTCCTCACCCCCAGAAAAATTGTGAAACCAGTATCCCATTTTCTGCCATCATATTGATCTCTCTGCTTGCATGTTATAAGCCTTGCTCCACTCCGTATCTGGTCTATTTAGCAATATTAGGTCATTAGATTAGATTTATGGAGGGTAGGTTCATTAATGGCTATTAGCCAGGATGGGTAGGAATGGTGTCCCTAACCTCTGTTTCTCTGGATTACCTGTTGTGATCCCTCCCTCTGGGGCATCTGGTATTGGCCGCTGTCTGCACACAGGAT